TATAGTGTAAAATAAAAATAGAAGAGGAATGAAAACTTTCTCCAACATAAATTTACTTTCTTATTGCTGCTGTTTACCTTTTTCCTAATACATTTTTGTGTTCTAAGATTGAGTTCCATGGGACTTTGAGACTTCTATTTGAGCTTGTTAATAAAGCCAGCCTGTGAATTAAATCTACTGTAGAGCCCCTATCGATCTTAATTACACAATGTAAAATAGCTTTTTAATTAGTTCATGTATCTACCTGTGTTTTAATATTGCATTGGTAGACTTTATGCCAGTACTTGGGTTCTGCATATAGTTTTGTCTATTTTTCACTATATATATATTAAAACAAGCAAATTGTTATTAAATGCCATTGGAATGTCATCATTTAAATAGCAAACCACTTTGCTTTCTGGAACTAAGTCAGGGTACAAGTAACTTAAATTGATGTTATAAGGATACCAAACTGGAAAGTACTTGGATTTCCAGCTTGTGTTACAGTAATGTTTTATGATACGAGAATCAAAACAGACACTTGAAGGTGAATCTGTTCATTATGCAATGACCACAGCAGCTCTTTCTTCCCCTTGGTTCCTTTCTGACCTTTTTCTTCCTGGAGTTGACTAAAACAGCATTCTCTCTTTACCTACGGTCAGACTGTGGCCATGCGGCACACTTGGAGTTTACTAATCCCCTGGTAACTGCCATCTACTTACTTGGGCCATCCCTTCCCTAAGGACTGAATTCTTATGAAAGAGCTAAGAATATGTAAAGCTATTCCTTGTTCCCCCTTGGAATACAAAATTCTTTGTTTCCCTATTAACACTCACTGTTAATACCTGTTTTGCTTTTAATTCAGCCTTGTTTTGTAGCTCAGTAACTGGAATTTGTGTGTATTACTCCAGGTAGACACCAGCATCTTCTATTCTGGCATTAATAGTTGGCTAGAAGACTCTCATGTATTTTGATAGTATTTTTCAGAGCTGTATCACAGCAACAGCTCATCTCATAGGGGAAGAGAAATACCTTGGCACTTGATTTCACTTCTGCTGGTCCTCAGGAGTTGCCCAGTTATTTCTCACACAAGTCAGATGGTTATTAATGCTATGCTTCCAAAAAAAAAAAGTCAGTTATATGCTTCTTCTAGGGAAGCTGTTAAGGAAAATGCTAGTAAGAGCAGGCCTAGAGTGCTGCCTCACTCTTGAGTGCTATTAGCCTTTGTTTCTATTTCCATCTCTTACTATTTTTTGTGCTGAACAAACTTTACAAAACCTCAAGTAGTTGATCCTGTCTCTGTTATCATAGTCTTGGTGAAATTTATGCATCTGGTCAAACACTGTGTGATTGCACGGAAAGGTGTGTGCACCTTACCCCTGCACAGCGCTGTCCTCTCCGCTCCTGCCCGCCAGCCGCCACCAGGACAGCTCCGGACAGGCGCTGCCAGGACCGCTGCGTCACCACGTCCCCTCCTCGCTTACCTGGGATCAGAGACACGGTCAGCAACGGAGAGCTGATTTGGGGAGGGGGGGGAAAAGCAGGATAACAAATTATTTATGGTATAAGGGGATTTAAAAAAAAAAAGGTGCAAGAGCTTTCACTGTAATGTTAAAACATTGAGATTATGATAATTAAGTGCATATGAATACACTTAGAATAAGATGAACTGTATATTCACCCCAGCTCTGTGTCAATCAAAGCAAAGCTTTGAAAAATACAAATAAATACAAAAAAATGCAACAACATTTCTCTGTCCCTGTGTAAACTACAGCCCAAGTGCAGCATATGGTTTTGGTGTTTCCATATTAAAATGAAACTATAAAATCTTGCAGTACAGCTTCAGAATAAATTTATGAGTAAGATTAGCCAAGAACAACAAGGTACAGTACAAAGGGGAAGCTCTTCTGAAGACCAGTGCAGGAATAATTAATAAACCAGCTGCAGAACCAAAGCAGAAAGACACAGGGGCAAGCTGAGGACAAATACGGGCACTGGAGAGGAGACAGATACCAAAAAGAAGCTACTTCTGATCTTGGACTGGGATGATGTCTTAGAAATTTGCTGAAGAGCAAGAGGAAACTATGCCTGGATAAACATTAATGGTAGAAGCTAGTGAATAGGGAACAACTGTCTGGTATTTTCATCTGCAAGAGAAGGTCTTGCAAAAGGGATTCTCCAACAACACTTAAGTGTTTGGTGGCCACCTTCATATCACCCCACCCTTGATTACCAGGCAGTGAAAAATGCCCTGTTCTCTAATTCCCACTACCAGCTATTTCTGCACAGGCCACAACAGTAGAAACAGCATCTTACTGCACAGAAATTCAGCATTCACCTCTTGGGCTGTTAAATAGGCTGGGAAAGATGTTTCCAAGAGGCAGGGTTTACGGACGGCATCGTTCTGCTTGATGCTGGAAAGCAGACAGCAGCAGTCCAACAGTAGCCACAGGAGCTTCATCAACTACTGGGATTTACTCAGGTACTGTCACTAGCTTCTGCTTGTGCATCAAATGTACAGCTAGACAGCTACAGCCAGACACACACTTAGCCAACAGTTCCACACAAGGGTTCAGGCAGGCACCTTGCTTGCCCATATACCCCAGAGAGGCTTGAACTACTAAAACAAAAAAAGGTCTCACCACAAATAAGTCTTACTTGCAGCTCCATGGCTCTCGTTGCAGGCATCGCTCCCCCGTTGCGTGATGGGTGTTGTGGCTCTGCAGCACCACACGTAAACACAGTAATGGAGACCAAGCCTCCTCAGAAATGGTACAAAGCCACATCAATTCACCACTACAGATGGAAAAATAAGTAAAAACAAGCCTGGGCCTGGCAACATGCAATAGCACAAAGTCCAGCTAGAGCGAATTAGAGCTTGGAATCTTCCTAAATTCCTGC